CACACACACACACACACACACACACACACACACACACACACACACACACACACACTCCTATGGGCAATTTAGAGACACCAATCAACCTAAACTGCATGTCTTTGGACTGTGGGAGGAAGCCGGAGTACCAGGAGAGAACCCACGCAAGCACGGGGTAATTACAAAGATCTCTTTCCATTACTGCATTATCTTGTCTATGATTATCAAAAGTAACACACCCCAGTGTTAATCACACCCTTGAATTAGATTCACATTACAAAAACTGTAGCAGGTGACATTTAAAATCATGATTTATATAGTAGATAATGTAAAACAATAAGGCACCAAATGCAGGCCCTTAAAAAGAACATTTAATCCAACATCTTTGATGGACAAGTTAACAGACTTTTTGCTGATAAAAGAGGTTCTCATTTTGCAGTCTGTGTTAAAGCAGTACTCACATGTACAGTGAAGGACTAATTGGTTCTAAGACACAGTGTGACACTCATTTACAATTATTGTTGTAGTTACACAGGTAGTACAAGGTCTGTCTGAACAACTTAAAAACTGATTATTCTAAATAAATTAACTGCCAGATTTGTGGTATGTGTATCATTAATAAATATGTAATTTTAAAATCTTTTCTCAGATGATGAGGCCTATAAATAGCACAACCTACTTTGTTAAAATGCTGCAGGCTGCTACATTTGTCATTTAATGCTTCTCCAGAACATTTTTTATGATGAAGTGACCCACTAACCCCAATAAACAGCTCCAGTAACCCACTGCACAGCCCTATGTTGAGAGCTATCTAGAGGTTTACGCCCAAACTTTCAAATTCTTTCATCTCATTTTAAAAATTCTCTCACGTCTCTGAAGGTTTGAAGAGTGTATGTTCTCCTTAATGATGTGACCCTCCACCCACCTGGCTGCTGTCCAGGCCTGGAGTACTGTCCACAGCAGAGGGCGCTCCAAGCCCGTCCTATCCACCACAGTAGAGGAGGGCACCTCCATCCAGCTGAGGTGCCCATCTGACTCCTCTAATTGCTTCCTTCCTGCAGTTAATTGGTGCCAATCCTTCCAGCCTCCAAACCCAGCTCCAGTACATGCACAAGCGGAGTTACTATTTATTACTGTGTTCATTCATGTCAACATACATCTACATTACCAGCAATTATTTGATTGTTATGCTCTTTCTGCGGGTGACCAAGATGCAACATAAGATGATCCTCAAGTTCCCAAGCAATCATGGAGACAAAGATCTAGTCACTATGTTTATTTACAGCATGGTGCAGAACAAATTGCACTTGGAGCCGTTTGCAGCTTCAGGATCTCAATCTGAAAGAAAATGCAACCTAACTAGGGTGACATCAAACATAACCAAAACCAAAGAAACCAAGCTGCATGGACCTACCTCCCTAACTAAACAGGAGAAAACATGTTTAACAAAAATCGGCAGCCCACCTCTATTAATGCCAGAGATCTAGTAAACTATGATCGACACAAAAAAAAGCACCAGACACAAAGGTCAAGATGAACATGGCCGGTTGCTGAAGAGAAGGCTGAGCTCCTTAAGTCGGCTTATTGAGATCACCTGTCTCAGCCAACAGAGAGCTGTCAGCCTGCACACAAATGACGGTAAACTGCTGCACCAGCACTTTAGCAGCGCATTATCATGAATTTACTCCGCAAAGTGCGAAAATCTGATAATGTGCCTTATTTATCATTTATCTATATTTATACAGACCCAAAAGCTGGTTTTAAGCACGTTTATTAATGTAGCAAATCCCACTAGTGGAGTAATATATTTTGACGACAACTTTGTGTTTGTTTGTTTTGGTTTTTGCAGTTTTTGGCGGGATAGCAGTAAAATAATGCAGGAAACCTAAATATCTGTCACTACTACTCACAGTATTTGTGCGTGTCTCCCGTCAATGGACCTCCATTCTACTATGACCCCTCCCACTTCTTTTTAACAGAATTAGACCCGCTGTAAATAAAACTTACCGGTTAGCGACTACCTAGGTGGGTGCTGTGTTTCAAGTGTCAGTTAATCATTGCGGGAAACACTTTCAGTGAGAAATGTTAATAATTTCAGACAGTGTTGTGTGTTCAAGGCAGGCGTGTGTTTCGCGGGGAAACGGGCGGAAGGATACAGGGGAGGAGGAGTGCTGCGGGGTTTTTATTGCAGCCTGTGGAGGACTCAGCTGTGACTGTCACGCTGCTGATGACAGATACCGGCCCGTTGGTGCAGCCTTTCAGCGACACAGCCTCACCGACACCGTCTGCAACGCCTACGCTGAAGGATTTAATGTCACTTTCCTATTGGATTAACTTTCCGCTCCTTTTGTCTGCATTTTGGATCCATTTCGCCCCGTGTTTTTTTTCGCCGGCTATTTCAAACATAAACGGTAAGGGATCTGGTGGGTTTCTGGAGCTGCACGCCACCTTCGTACAGCAGTGGGGTCAAGAATGTTATTAGTTTATCGTCAGTAGCCGCTTGTTGAAGGTGGGATTTGCTCTCTAACTCACTGTCAGTTTCCCAGCTAAGCGCCTGCTGCTGCAGCAGCACCGGTGCATGCACGCAAGGCGTGCAAAGAGGGTGGATGTTTTGAAGTGACCATGTGATGTTGCCGGAGTAAAAGTGACAAACGACTCTCCTGCAGATCTTTATACACAACAGTTGATCTCTCTCTCTCTTTCTTCACCTAGATTCATTAAGGACGAAACCCTCAGAGACATGATGCCGCTGAGTTCAAGTTTAGCCAGTAAAAACTATGACTATGACTACGATTTTCTTCAACCGTATTTCTACTATGACACCGAGGAGGAGAATTTCTACCCTCAACAGCTTCAGCCTCCGGCACCGAGTGAAGACATCTGGAAGAAATTTGAACTGCTGCCGACCCCTCCCCTCTCCCCGAGCCGCCGTCCGTCCCTGTCAAGCCTCTTCCCCTCCACAGCGGATCAGCTGGAGATGGTGACCGAGTTCCTGGGCGACGACGGGGTTAACCAGAGCATCATCTGCCACGCCGACTACTCCCAGACATTTCTCGAATCAATCATCATCCAGGACTGCATGTGGAGTGGCTTCTCCGCCGCGGCCAAGCTGGAGAAGGTTGTCTCCGACCGGCTCGCCTCCCTGCACGCCGCGAGAAAGGAGTCTGCGGCCGGCGACAGCGCGGAGGATGGAACATGGAAGATGAACAGCAGCTACCTGCAAGACCTGAACACATCCGCCTCGGAGTGCATCGATCCATCTGTGGTTTTCCCTTATCCGGTAGCAGAGGGGCCCAAGCAGGGTGCAGGGACGCCGCCAGTTAACATTAAGGATTTGGGACTGGACACTGCCAGCAGCAGCGGCTGCAGTGACTCTGGTAGGCTATGAATATTCACTAAGCGTACAGTCTCACCCGTATGTGCGAACGGGAATTGTCCCCAGCACAGTGTGCAAAGATGAAAGCAACCACTTCACGATTAAAATGAGGCCAGTTTTATATCATGTGATTTGCATTTGGGTTTTCAGGCGGGAGGTTGCTGTTGCGATGTCATGTTGCAGACTCTTGTGAGGTTAGCTAGTCGGTATGACCGCATGTTAAGTAATCAGTTGACATGGAAGAGGAGTGGGGAAATGAATTGTACTATACCCACCCCTTCCCACTGTGGTATGCATTTAGCTACTGACTGGATCAGCAGTAGCCTTGATGCTGAAGCAGAGGGTGATTGTTCTGATCTGTGCTGTGTTGCAGAAGATGACGATGGAGATGACGAGGAGGAGGAGGTCGATGTGGTCACAGTGGAGAAAAGGCAGGTTGTGAAGCAGTGTGACCCCAGCCAACTGGAGACAAGACATCCCAGCCCGCTAGTGCTGAAGAGGTGCCACGTCTCCACCCACCAGCATAATTATGCCGCCCATCCACCCAGGAGAGAGGAGCAGCCAGCTGTCAAGAAGCTAAAACTGGAGAGCGGAGGTGGTGCTGGCTACAGCAGGGTCCTCAAACAGATTAGCAGCAACCGCAAGTGTTTAAGTCCCCGGACGTCTGATACAGAGGACTACGACAAGAGAAAGACTCATAACGTGCTGGAGCGCCAGAGGAGGAATGAGCTGAAGCTCAGCTTCTTTGCCCTGCGGGACGAGATCCCCGCAGTGGCCAACAACGAGAAAGCAGCCAAAGTGGTGATCCTGAAGAAGGCTACAGAGTGCATTTACAGCATGAAGTCAGACGAACAGAGACTCGTCTTGCTGAAAGAGCAGCTGAGGATGAAAAGTGAACTTCTAAAGCAGAGACTCTCACAACTGCAGCGCGCTCTCGCTTAAAGTTTAAAATCAGACTTGTTGGCATTTCGTTTTGTTATGCAAGTTTAAACGTTAGGCTGTACAGCTGCATGTAAAATAGATTACATTTGCAATTTTGTATTAGTCTGCCTCAGTTGAAGTCAGAATTAAATATTTAAGTTTATTTTTATTAATAAAATATTAAAAACAGGGTAACCCTGTTGAGGGCCCAAACTAAAATATACATTTGTATGTTTTGTATATAATATTTCATATATTGTATTTTTGGATCTCAAATGGCTGGATGTTCACAACCAGTTTTTTTTATATAAATTTTTTTTTTGAAATTGTCCTTGTTCTTTCAGTGCAAAAAAAACCCTTCAGAGTAGGAATGTCTGGCACAACTTCACCTACTGCAAAACAACCTTAAGAGTTAAAAACTCCAGCAACACTTGTACAACTTCAGATCTAACAATAAAGGTGTTCGTCATTCTGCAACTGTTGCTGGAGATTTGAAGTCTTCAGTATGAAAACGCATCACAGCATCCACTATGAGTAGACATTGACTAATACTGTATGTAGTGTGCACGCAGGGACAAGGAGACTAGGGCATGCATGGTTGCATAGTTTGTATAAAAGTCATGTACTGGCTCTGACATGGAGTAAGATGCTCATTTTTAGGGGTAATGACACAGTGTCCTCTGGCTGGTTGAAACAAGGAATGATTTCACCTGAAGATGCAGTTTTGGTACTGTCCTAGTTTGATTCCATCACAGTAAGGTCTATGATCACTCATTTAGAAGCTTTTAAACTGAACCTGGTGTACGACAGTTAATCAGGTTGCACTGAAGATTATTAATTTAGATTATCTGCATATGCAGACTCCAAACTGTTTATAACAGAACATGAGGATACTACCCACATTTACATCCTTCAGGGAATATTAATGAATGTGGTCAAATGCAAATATAAACACTAAAAATCAATAAATAAACCTTTCAGTTCCTTAAACACTTAATCAATTACACTGTTTCTAATTCATAAATAGCCACTTTGTCATGTGTCACACAAGATTTAGGTCAAAATTGTGGGTGTAAGAAAACAGGTTGTTACACAGCTGCAATCACATTCATGTAAAATATTTTTAGACTATTATTTCTATAGGCCATTACAGAATATGACATAATAGTTTTAAGTTTACATACTTGTGGGTTAAATATGTGAAATGAGTAATAAAAACTCTAAAGAACAATAAGTAAACCTTAAAGTGTGTCACAGTACAAATGTGTATTATTGTCAAACAAGCTATCGTTTCTGTGACAAGTTAGAATATTACAGAAATATGATTAAAAGTTAAATATTAATGAATAACAATCAGTAATACCAAATAAAAACACAAAATAACCACAGGCAGTGATGGAACACAGATTCTTTACCTGCAAAATTAGCAATACCACAGAGTAAAAATACTCTGTTACAAGTTAAAGACCTGCATTCAAAATATTACTTAGGTACCAAAAGAATATTAATTATGCGGAACTGCCCTTTTAACATTATGTATATCATATTATTGGATTATAGGCTAATTATTGAAGCATCACTGTATACACCACATTTAATGGTGGAGCTATTAACTACCTTATATAGCTATCTTACTTATAATTTGAAGTACTATTGGGTAGCTTGTGAATGTCCCACTGAGGATCAATAAAGTTTGTTTCATTAATCTGATCTGAAAAGTAACTAGGTTTGAAGAAAAGTGTAATATTTGCCTCTAAAATGTAGTGAAGTGCCATAAATGAAAATACTCAAGTAAATATACCTCAAAATGGTAATTAATACTTAAGTAAAAGTACTTAGGCTGCTCTCCACCAGTGGTAATACCTCACAGTTAAGCAGCACATACATTCTTATGCGGTAGCCTATTTAATATCGTAATATGCCCGTGTTGTTGTTATAACGTTAGATTTAGTTCAACGACTTTTCGGCCGTCGCCGTGACGTCACGCGCACCATCCCGAGCTCTCCGGTGAGCGCGTGGTGCTGGTAGCGAGCACATGGACGTGAGGTCGAGATTTGTGTCTGCGAGACGCTCGAGTGATAAGCAGGAATAAAAAACGGAATAAAATCCACAAGGATGCAACAAACCAGCCTGAACAGCCCGGTAAGAGCGTTTTATATGCTTTCTATCGATACACTGCTCCTTTTAAAGAAATCTTTAATTATTCTCATTAATAGGTCTGATTATATTAATATCTTTATCGTTCAACCTTTCAATGGAAAAGTTACTGTAAAGGAGTAACAGGAACTGTGGAGCTGGTTTGATATAATTGGAATAATGCATGTGGTGACACGACATGTCTGAAACTATTGTTCTCAGTGTGACTCTTGTCTGGCTTCTCTATTGTCTGTCCAACTCCCCTTAACACTCCAGAGTTTAGAACAGGGAATGTTAAATTCACATTTTTTGTTAGTCTGATGTTATTTCAGCTGATCACACTGATGAAGGGCTTACTCTATATACTATACTGACGCTCACATTGTATACCTACAAGGTTTTATTCTCTATATGTGGAGCACAAGTGTAGTGCTGCTGCAAGCGTCATTCTATCTCTGCTGCCAGTGTAATAGTGCAGTTGTTTGGATTATAACAAAAGGTAATAAAAGGTGTCTGAGTTACCCTCTCCTCAATGTATAGGTTATTTTGTGCATTACGAGGAGCTTGTTTATTTCCAACACAAGAAGAAATATCTGTAACTGCATTTGAGGTACAGCTACACTAAGGCATGGATTAGTGATGTGGGTTCACTGTGTGGTCTGTCAGGGTGGGCAGGGCAGCTGTCTAGTGATCAGGGAACGAGTGCTGTGAGTAGCTATTATGAGTTCAAGCCTCCATAACAACATGCATGCACGCTGCTGATATGTTGTCCAGTAAAACGCTGAATCCTTGGTCTCAGGAGGTGCCCTAAGGTCATTTTGTCAAAAATTAACAATACCCAGTGAACGGTTTGGGGCTTATTTTCGGGTTGAGAAGCAGTTTGTTCAAGCTGGGCTCAGTTTGAGTAAAAAGTGAATGTTTTTCACCTGTCATGGTTATGAAAAAAAAAACCCACTACCCTGCTACACTTTAGCCCAGTTATAACTGTGACATCTAAACCCTGATGTCTTTTCACCTACAAATCACAACAACAATGCTTACTGGGTGGCGTTATCATCAACAGCAGCTGGAAGGTTTGTCTGTTTTTGCAGACAAACAACGATTCAAGAGACTATTCATTCCCATAGTTTAACCACAATGTCAACTACCCGTGTTAATGAACTCAAGCACAACTTTTCTCGTCACAGAGCTAAGTGTTAGAAATAAATAAGACATTTAACAGCACTGACTGCTGTGATTTCTAGAATCCTCTTCTAATCATTTGCATAAAAACGTTTTGGTCTATAATGACTCGTTTTTAACCACTTTTAGAAGCTGCAACTCATCTGTGTTTGTTTGGATTTGTACATTTGCAAAAATGGTTTATAATTGATGTTTTTTTTTTCATCCAGACAGTTTTATCCACATTGTGGAAAACTCCCTGTCTCAAATGTTAAGCTACTGCTAACACATATTATTGTTTAGAAAAATCCTAGACCTCAGACATCTTGTTTATTTTTACTAATATTCCAAAAGATATTCAAGTTATAGTGATATAAAAGAGAAAAATTGCAAACCATCACTTTTGAGAAGCCAGAAATAGCAAATATTTGTTTGCATATTGTAATAAATAAACAATTAGATGTGTTAATGTTTCTACAGTGTTCACTACTTGGTATAGGTATAATGTTGATAGAGTCACAGTGAAATTAGACCCATAGACGTGTGCTATTCTTCCAATAAGCAAATGAACTTTACACAGCAAATGCTGTGTGTGAGTATATTTAGAGAGCAGTGTGTTTTCCGGGCAATCTGAGCCAATCTCCACTCTCAGTGACTGAACACACAGTTTTCAGGTACACTAGAGGCCAAGGAGTACATGGAAGTCCTCTGTTAGGTAATCGGTGTTTTTCAGGGTTGGAAGCTGGAACAGATTAAAGCCTTTGATTCTCCATAAGTCAGAAATGTAGCGGCTCAGCAGCTAGACTTTTCTCCCTGGCCGTGTCTCATTTTACAGCATTGCAAGTATCAAATCACATCACTTTCCTCTTTGGGAATACACCACCTGATTTGCATTCTCTGATTCTGTCTCTTGAGTTGTCAGTGGTTTTTTTTTTATTGGCGTTGACATCCTGTATTTGGCTATCAGCTCCCTGCCTGCACAGTGTTTTCAGTGTGAAGCGTTTGACCATGTGAAACTCTTTAGGAAAACATCTCTGAGAAATATGACACCTGTGCTCTTGGATCCAGTACCACCACTCAATGTCAGAGTGAAATTTAAATTCTCCTTAGGATTTACACAAGGAAATATAAACCACTATGGTGCTGTAGCTAATGTGCACAGCTTTCCATTTTTCAAAACAGAATAAAACTGATTTTGTGGAATTCCACATATTTGTGGAATTTGCTTTTATACTTTAGCTTCAAGCCTCTGGGCGCCCCTTCAACTTCTGTGGTGTGTGTTTTGGCTATGTATCTGTCTATGTATCTGTCTGAGTTTCTTTTCATTCAGCTTTTGGGAGGACCTGTCCTGCTGTTAAGTTTGTATTCCACTCAAAAAATAGAAGATAGCAAGCCTGACTGACTTTCACTTGTAAAGCTGAAACTAGTTAGCGTAGCTTGCTAATGTTAGGACCAATTTCTGCTATTAGTTCAAGTTACTGTAGCATCTGCTGAGTCATGTGCCAGATTTCCATCCAAATTCAGCACAACTTTAAAGCAAATTTCCATGAAATCAGCAAAAGAAATGCAAATTATATCATCCACCACTGTTTAGGAGTTCGTTCATCGAGATAAATGCCTGGTGGCACTATTTCAGCTGTCAAATGCCATTACCCATTGCACAAGAACAGGGCACTGCAAAATGACTACATTAAAAGAGCACTCACAGATACATACATGCACATGCCTCATGAGCTGCTGAACTGGTACCCAGTAATCCATCCATGAGTGTCATCCTAAATCTAACAGAGTTCTTATGACAAGTCATTTTTGGTCACAATTCAGCTTTTCAGTCTGCTAGTCTATCCATATTCATATGGAAAAAAAAGATGCTGATACTACAACAGGTCAGCTTTTTTTCTGTTTACATGTGGGGGATGTCAGTGCATAGCAGAGCGCAGAGAGCACTGTCATACACTATACTGTAACAATTATCCTTATTAAGGCACAGCACAGCAGCTGACTGACCTACTCTCTCACAAAACTTTTTTTTTTAAAGTTACTCGTAATTATATGACAGCAGCAGCAGAAAATGATGCTAGCAAGCAACTGTTTTGCATCCGTTTCAGTGATGTTTTGTAAGTAAACACAGGTTAACTATTGACAAGATTAATGCAGGGGTCAGCAAGTATCTGCCACAACAGATTCAGATTAACACTGTCTATTAATATTACAGAAAATATCCTGGAAATAATAAAACACTGTATTAGCATTGTATAGGCGTAACGCTGAGCTAAAACTTTATTAAAATAAATTATGCATGGGTCATGGTCAAGTCTCATACTAAGAATGCTGCTCCTCAGTACGGAATTGATGCAGGCTTGTCATTTAACATGGAGACAAAGGCACTCCTGTAAAGATATCAGATAAAATTCAAATCATGTACAGATATGAATAAACAGGTTAGGTTCTATATCATATCCTTAGCATGATTTAAACCAAGATAAAGCACAACAGAGACTAGTGCTTATGTAATACAGGGGTAACAGATAGAGTTGATGATATGGCACCGTAAAGTTCAGCGAAGCTGAATAAAGATTTTAAAATAAAGTACTTTAAATTTATTATAGTTGTTATAAAATGTTCCAACAAAAATGGCATCAAAATGTCCAGAAATAGGAAATGAAGCCATTAATGGTGTCCTGCCTCAAGCTGCTCCATCAGCAGTCTGAAAACATACACAGAAAATAATGTTTCTATCCTTAATATTTGTGCTGTGTCTGTAAAGGTGCCAGAAATGAGCAGGGAAAAAGGTTAAACTTTTGATTTGATTTGATTTGATTTGATTTATTCTTTCAAGCATGTAAAACAGTTGATATGACAACACACATAATTTTACACATAATCCAATATCAATTTGCTTATACCTAGTACATGCTTGAATGGAGTAGGAAGAAGTCAGACTTATCCAGTCCTACCCCATGACATCATCTTACCATCATTGGTTTGCAAGCAGTAAATCATTCACTTCTACCCACACAAGTATTATACTAAAAAAAAAAGATAACGGTGTTAACATTCTTACATCACACAAGTAATATACTAAAGAATTATTACAAAATGTACACCACACCCACAATTGTCCATGTAATTAATCATTAAGCCTGTTCTTGCATATATCTTGATTGACACATACCTTTATATTTATGTTTAAACTCATCAATATTCTTACTGCTTTTTATGTCCATACCTAAATTATTCCATAGATTTACTCCACTTATGGAAATACAAAATCTTTTTGTGGTTGTACATATAGCATGAATTTTTAAATTTAACTGACCCCTTAAATTGTATCCCCCTTCCCTTTCATTAAATAGTTTTTGAATTCCACCAGGTAATAAATTGTTCCTGGCTTTATACATAAACACAGCAGTCTGATATCCCACTAAATCAAACAATTTTAACAATTTAGACTGTATGAAAGCTACATGTGTGATCCCTGTACCCCATCTTATGCACAATTCTTATCGCTCTTTTTTGTAATATATACAATGGTTGAAGTGAACTTATGTATGTATTTCCCCAGTTTTCAACGCCATACTCTAAGTATGGTAAAATCAATGAAGAATACAAAACGTGTAGTGCTTTCCCGTCCAAAATATATCTAACCCTCGCCAATATCTATATATTTTTTGCTATTTTGTGCTGAACATATCTGATATGAAATTTCCAGGAGAATTTGTCATCAACTATGACACCTAGAAATTTAATTTCATATACTCGTTCGATATTAGCTCCCCCAA